TCTCTCTTCTTTTCTCCCTTTTTAAAAAACCTTACGGAACCTTTCGGCGTCCCTCGCTCTCCTACAGGGTGGAATACGGCACGCGGACGAGCGCGAGGAGCGCGAGAATAAAGAATAAAGCGGAGATAAACGAGAGCAGGACAGGAGACGAGCGGATTTATGCCATCACCTCTGATAACAGAGGAAGAAAAAAGACTTGATAAAGGGGCTGATATCTCGGGATATCTGAGCACTTTTCGTATTCCCAAGTGAGGAGATTGGGGCTCGTGCGCTGCAGCTTGGTTCTAGCCTCGTTGTGGACTATACAGACCCTCAGAAGGCGTTTTTTTCGCAGGTAAGAAAGAGGGATCGACCCCCCGCGTGTGGATGTGAGTTGATAAAGCTATGATCAGGATGCTTCGAGAAGGTAGGAGAAGAGGAGCAATGACGCCAAGCCGAGCTAAAGCTCCTATGCATTGCATAAGCAAAGTTAAGTTCTACGTAGACTTCAGTATTGCTCCTCTTTATCCACTGCATGTTCTAGATCAGGGCTAGGGTGGTCCAGAGCTCACATTAGTGGTGCTGGTGAACCCTCCCCTCCTTTTTTCCCTTGTCAGCTTGAAGGCTAGGAGAAGGGGCTTCGTTCTTCATAGGGGAAGGAGGGTGGAGATATGGAGGTGGTGATGTGCATGTGCTTTGGGAGCACCTTGGAATATTAATTGCTTCCTTCCATCGTAAGAAGATCCTCAAAAGCTCACGTAGATTGTCAGAACATGTTTTTATGTCTGTCTCCCATATTAACTGGTCCACATCATCATTCTAGGAGCCTCTTGTACACCCTCAGAAGCTTTCTGTAGATCCACAGAAGCTCAGGTAGACCCTCAAAAGCTCATGTAGATCCTCAGAGGACAGATGCATTCACGTCCGACTCGATTAAGGTCAGTTTCAGCACGGCTCTGTCTGAGCCAAGCCAAAGCCAAGCCTGGGCATTGTGATCCTCATGCATTTCCTATATTTACATATTAAGGTTGGACAATGTAAGCTGATATTGGACCTATGAAGAAAGCAGGAAAGCAGAAAGTGTTGGTGGCTGAAGCTGAAGGACACACTCTTCTGACTGGGTGTGTATGTGTGTGTGTGTGTGGTGTCCTGCAGCTTCCGTGGTACGGCGCGTCCGTTCGCAAGCGCTCAAGTGCTCCCCTTTGGAAAGGAGGCATAAATATTCATGAAGGCATACACATCCTGTCCATCCTGAAATATTTACAATAATTGAATAATAAATGAAGCCTCGCCATGGATTGTGCATGGTGGTACCTTTTTTTTCTTATCTCTTTTTTTCCCCTCTGTCTGCACTGGCCGGGTCCACATGAGTGACCATTAAATGACTTTGCCTCCAGATATTCACGTTCAGGAAGTCTCCTGAATCGTGAGGTGCTCACTAAAGGGGACGACTGTAGCAGAGCCGAGGAGTGCTGGTTTATAATCAGGATTTAATAAAAAAAAAAGATCTACGAGATAAATATTAGCTGATGTTTGTGGCTGAGATCTGTGAGTTGTTCACCTTTGATGTTTTATTGAGTGCTAAGCAGGCTGGGAAGATCTCTGAGAGCCTGGCTTCAAGTGATTCGTCTGTAATTTGGAGCTGCGTCTCTTCACGCCGTATCCCTAACTACAACCTCTTTTTTTTAGAATGACAATCGATAACAGCTCCCAGTGTGGGAGGGAGAGGGTTTGTGCTCTCGTTGCTGACGTCCGTTTGTCTGACAGAAAAAAAAGCGGCTCTCGGTTTTTTCTCATGCTTATTTTACATGAGCTTTAGAGTCTGAATTATGTATCTGATGATTCACTCTGTGTTTGCTGCACGCTGCTTATCTATAATTCATCACTGCCTGTTCTAAAGGGTTAAAAAATAGAGATGTGAGCAGAAGTCATTAGACACACTGCTTGAATTTAAAGTTAGAAACCACACAGTCCACATGCGATGCAATAAATGAATAATTTCTTTTTTTTTCTTCCAAATTTCTGCATAATTCAGTTGTTGAGATGTAAAGAAAGACGTTCAGAGTGGTTTGATGTGTAATGGCTCAGAATTTCTTTCTGACTCACAGTGGTGGTGGTGAGAACCAGGCGTCGCAACGTCTACCCATATATAGCCATTTTATTTACTATCCAAAAGCAACAGTGAACCTCCACGTGCCTTGTTTTTGCCTTACAGTACTCTGCATGTACCTCTTCATTGTTAATGGATTTAAAAAAAGAAAACAATATATTTAAAGCCAAAACCTTCTTTCTTCTCTAAGGCATCATAAAACAATGTATTCAATTCCGACTGGAGCATTTCATATCAAACCACTTACATCTTAACCATCTAATTATGCAGAAATTTTGGAAAATCAGTAAGAAATCTTAAACTATTTGATCATCAGGCATTACAAACATATCCAGACATTGTTGACATGCAGTTGCATTGACATACGGTTGTATGCATGTTCCTACTGGCTTTATAAGACAGCTTCTTGAAGAAAGAGCATCTAAATAAGTAAATAACATAAATAGAAGAATACAAAAGATAGACGAATAACGAATGTGATATAGGGGAGCACAGGGAACAGTCTAATGTGGGGCACAAATTAACACGGATGTTTTACGAGAAGGTCAAGCTCCATGAGCTTCTGGCCACATTAACACATTTTCTAGCCGTGGTCTCCCACCAAAATTCAGAGCAATTGGTCATTGTTTTAAAGAGATCTGTAAGTGTTTTCAGGGCATGTAAGTAAATTTTTTCAACATAAGTAATTTTCGGTTACTGAGCTGTTGGTGTAAATCACAAAATCCAACCTTATATCACTTTAATCACCATCTTGTTTCCTACAACACAGCACCGTTTTGAAGCAGCTGACAAGCTCACAGTGAGTGCTAGCTGGGCCTAAGTACAGCCTCCGTACTGCGGGGTTAGTTGTTACATGGTGTTACAACTAAACCACCTTTAGTAAACAAAGACAAATACAGTAAATTCAGTCTTTTTGTTCCATGTGATTACACAGATTTTAAGATAAAAAAGAGAAAGCACCTAAAAACAGGGATTTTCTTTTGTTTTATTAGTAACTTTCAGATGTTAGTATGTTGGTTTTAAATAAGTACATTAATGTAAACTGACATTAACAGTTGGTAAAACTGTAGTTATTCAGAAACAGTGTTCCATATTTTACTGATGTGTGTTTTTTTTATTTGCTGTCCTTCACTGGACAAAAAAAAATAAGTCTGTCATTGTTTAATACACCGTCTCATCTCAGTGTCCATGTAATTTGATGTGTGTCTATCAACTGATCTGTCTGTCTTAAAGATAGATAATATTTAATGCAGTACGACTGGAAAATATGCCTGTTTTGTACAACATAGACTTACATTGAATTAACTTTGTTTGCAATTATTCGTCAGACTTTTCTATCAGGTGTTAAACTGACCCTCTGTCTGTTACAGTGAACCCACCCATGGGGCAAATTGTAACATTGCGCTTCCCGTTATTTTTGGTGCAATTGTTCATGAGCAGTAGGTGCTAGAAACAAAGTTCAAGTGTTCATTTGTAGCAGAGATGTATATGTAGCTTGTATAAAAATATGATTATTTCAGCTTCAGTTATTCAACAAAAGACAAAGTGTGTTAGGTGGTGCCCCGCTCTCCCTTGACTGTAGTAGGGCAGGCCTTGGGCTTGGCCCTTCAGTGTCTTTAGTGATGCATGATGACGAATGATATTGTAGTCATATCAATAACATTTAATAAATGTTTACGCATGGGAATCACATTCGCACATGGACGATGTCGCCCCAGTTCCCTTTTAGGAGTCTCCAATGTAAAAGATGGTGTGCAAGCACAGGTGAATGCATGTGCTGCCTCACCTGAACAGGCTGGAATGATTAATCATCCAGAGCAGAGCGTACTAGAATGTTTCCTATCATCTTGCTTCAGCCTAGTAAAAACAGGCCATTCTTCTGGCCAGCACAACTGCTCCATATGTTACATGTGCAGCAAAATCAGAGAGGAAGGCCACAGATGTCCCAGGAGTCTGGAGAACTGCAAGGAGCACACTAGAGATGGCCTCTTGAAAAGCACTGCTGTTCAAGTACTGGAGACGAATTACTACTCCCTTTCAAATTGAGCTTGTATGGCTAATAAGTGCCTTTTAGCAGTTAATGAGCAGTTCCTTCAATGCAGAGCTTGATATAGACCAAGAAAATAGTGTTACAAGATGTCCAAAGCTTTTAATTTGCCATTTGTAACCCTACATGTAGGGCAGTGGAATTATTCCAGTGGTATACAGTACATGGGGCTAAATCAAGCATGAATAGTGCCCACCTGTGCCAGATGGTGGTGTCTTGATTGTTCTGATGTCATGGTGGTGGAGCACGGGGAACGGTTGGCACCTAAGGCATGTCTATGTTTTACTTGTGAGCGTAAAACAACAGTATGTTTTAATCTATGCCAATAGCTCAGTGGTAACTCTGTTGTCATATCTTATACAACAGTTAGTAAACACTTCTGTCGCTACAATTTTCATATGTTTCCACCCAGAAGGTGTATGTTAACCATTCCCTTGACTGTAGCCAAGTTTAAACCAATGTAAAGCTTCTGGGGGACCCATTTAAACCAATGTTACCAATGTTAAATGAAAAACAAGATACTACTGCACACCTTTGTTTTTCACCACCAGGAGGTGCAGTTTGTTCCCTGGATGATCTAAAGGTTTTTCTCAACTGGAACAGTTGAGGAATGAGTTGTCACTTTTATGCAGCACTTCAGTATAATAAGATTCCTCCAGGTTTAGTAGAGAGTTTGTTTTAGTTAAACTAAAACGCTTTAACTCCTCTAGCATGCCATGAAAAAAATGTCATGGGCTATGTAATACTTAAAAAAGACTACAGCATTAGTTCAGACTGCAGAATGTAAAAAATAAAAGCCCTTACATGTTGGTGGATGTTTTAATCCCCCTGCTTGGATGTCTAGTGAAAGCCCAAAGTTTACCAGCTGCTTAGACTTTTTAGGCATGTTTAGCCCCAAAATACAGGATTTCCTATCATTCTACTACTATTATTACTACTCATAATAATGTTTTTTTAATGTTCAATAAATGAGGTTACTGTTTAAACAGTAGCATTTTTGCAGGACTGTTATTGTGATAGCAGTTATAATGCTATCTGCCAAAGGAGAGTGGATAAATCTATGTTCTCCATGGATTCTTTCATGTCATAATTCTGACATGGTGTATCTTCTGCTATTTCTTGCCAGATTTAGCTAGCTAAATGGCTAGGTCTAAATTAGCATAATAACAGACTGTAGGACTGTTATTAGCAAAGTAAC